ACCTGGGGGACATGGCTGAGGAGGCTCCCCAAGACACCCCACAGCACACTGGGCTGAGTCATGCTCCCAGTTTTAATCCCTGCCAAGGAGGGGGGTGTCTTTGAGTCCCACGGGCAGGCGGCTCTGCCAGCCACAGGGTCACAACGGCGCCGGGATGGTGACAGGGACGTGGCTGGAGGGTTCCCACGAGGCAGGCGGTCTCATGGCTCATATTGCAGGTCCGTGGCGATGAGCACGAAGTCCTGCAGGGAGTCAGGGTGAGAGAGGGGACATGGGGGACACAGGGGACACCAGGAAGAGGAGACAGTGGTGGCACTCACCTCTTGCAGCGAAACTCGGGGCCTGAGCAGGCTGAGGCCTTGTGGGAGAGGCAGAGGGATGCCAGCCTGGAGCCACTCTGTGGGGAGACAGAGGCATAAGGGGAGGTGGCCCTGGTGCAGCTGGGGGAAGTGGGGTGGGGACGGGATGGGAACAGCACTCACTGTTTGCTCGGGGCACCCCAAAAAGCCAGAGCCCAAACTTCAGCAGAGTCTCCAGGCGCTTCACCTGCAGGACAGGCAGAGGGGTCCATGGTGCAGGCAGGGCTCAGCCCCCTGCCAGGCTTGCCTTGCACAGGTCCACTGCACCCCCCAGACCCCTCAGACCCTGCTCCCAAGGTGATGTGGAATCCAAGGCTCCCCTTGGCTTCCCTGGCACAGCCACTCACCTCCACAGGGCCCACATTTGATGCCACCTGTGTCACGCTGAGTCTGAAGGAAAAGATCAGGGTCAGAGCCAGGCACAGGGATGGGAACTGTCCCTTCCCAGGGTAGGGAGAGGCTGAGCTCCATGGTGGGACTGGGAGCCCAGCAGAGTGGGTTCAGGTGAGGACCCTCATAGTGGGTTCAGGTGAGGACCCAGCATAGCTGGCATGGGTGAGAGCCAGGGATAGGATGGAGTCTGAGCAGGCAATACGGGACTCAGGGAGGCAAATGGCCAGAGGTGGGGAATGGGGAGCTCCCCAGGTACGTCCCAGGGGAGTCCAGACCCAGCTCAGGATCAGACACTCACCCTGTCA